GACGCCTGGCATAAAGACGTCCAACTGTTTCGTATAATGTCGACCAATACCGGAGCAATTGTCGGCTCGTTTTATTTCGACCCCTATTGTCGACTCAACCATAAGACCAGTACCTCTTACAACGAGTTGGCGCTCAATCAATACAATTCGTTGTCCACTAAATCCGTCTCTTATCTGATCACCAATTTTGCCGAACCAGTAATCGATGGCCAGTCGACACAGTTATCGTTTAGTCAAATCATATCGTTATTTAAACAGGTTTTATAATAGAAATTATTTAATTTATATAAAATTCAGTGTTTAATACAAATGAAATATTTGTCAATTCGTTAAGTTTGGTCATATTATGCACCAATCGTTATCTGCGAGCACTTACGCCGAGATCAGTGGCGTATCCGGTGCCGAGTGGGACGTCGCCAACTTCTTCCCCCAATTCTTCGCTCTCTGGCCTTTGAACTCATACGCTGTGATCGCCTCCTGTAGCCGACACGTGGCCAACGGGTCACCGCTTCCCGAATCGGAATTTGATAAAATACGCAGAGGTATGGCATGTCGTGGCCCGACCCCTACGGGCTTCTGGCTATTAGTTTAATACATTTTATTGTCATTCATAGCTCACTATCACTTCGCGTCGTTTGACTTAAAGCATGAAATATACCGAATGGCTCTCGACTTAGCGCTGTATTCAAGCGGAAACTTCTGGAGTGATATTCGGGATCAGGTGTGGGACGAATATATGACTCCATTTGTACGTGTGCGTCGTTTGACTTAAAGCATGAAATATACCGAATGGCTCTCGACTTAGCGCTGTATTCAAGCGGAAACTTCTGGAGTGATATTCGGGATCAGGTGTGGGACGAATATATGACTCCATTTGTACGTGATAGACTAGACAAACACCCTTGCTCGTTCAGAGCTATATTCAGCGACGACTTAGCCGCCGCCTACTTCTCTACCAAATGGGCAGAGGTTTGGTCACAAGTCATACATTGTGTGCAAATACTTACAAATTGTGATTTATGTGTTAGATGTTGGCCGCGGACGCGTTCGGCGCCTTCCAAGTGGCGGATGTGGACAACGATAAAGCCGTAGCGCAAGTCGGCGCCCGATTTACGGACTCTTTTCTTACTAATTCGGCTGATTATAAGAGTAGTGAAGTATTTCGCAGATTCTTAGGCCGAGACCCCTCTCCCGACGCATACCTCAGGATTAACGGTCTCTACGGAAAGGATAGTTACGCTAAAAGGGATACTCTTTTGGGTAAGGATTTGTTGGCTATGTTTGAACTAATTTGAAATATTTATATATTAATTATTCAATTGTTTTATTTGATAGCAAATGAGAGGACAGTAATCGATACAAGCGCTGAGAAACACGCCAATTGATGGCTAATATAGCTTATAATGTTATATATTGTGTGAACAATAATTACTATTATCTATGAAATTATTTTTGTTGCTATTTTTATGCAATAAATAAATGATTATAATTATGAGTTTTTATTATATAAAATACAGTAATTGTATGAAAGCTTAGTCTAACGCAAAGCCCAATCATTATTATTATATATAATCGTTAAACAAATAGTAGAAAATCTTTTAATGATATTTTATTTCATTAGAAAACTTATTAAATAAATAAAAATTTTAATTTTACGCGAAAAAATATACGAGAAAATTCATTTCACTTGAAAATAACAATTTATTTTTGGACACTTTTGTAGCATTTATTGCAAACATTTTGTTGATTTAAACCTAACTGTAATTCAAGATCAAAGTAAAGCGATTGAGTGATAAGATGTGATGAGAGAAAAATGTATTAAATCAATTGGATTTCAACTGTATTAACTAATAGTCATATATTTTATTTATTTTAAAAAAAACTTTGCAAATAATCGCAACCTTTTATGCATTCAATTCAACAGGAATTCAATCAAATTCTTGCGTTTCTCACAAGAATTCACAGAATATTTCGCTTCAAATCTAACAAATAAAAGACTATATCTTAAGAGCTATTAGAAAATGAGATAATCATATGATGGACAGTGAATGGGATGTCATCGATAAGGTATAGTATGTGTGATAACCAAAAGTATGCCAACATTTGTCAAAACATTTGTTAAAATACATGACAAACGCTATAAATATCACGAATTTGCAGCACTTTTGAAGGCTTTACACAAAACTTGAAACCAAAAGCGAATGCATTGTTATTATCATTGAATGCAATGAATAGCAAAACATTAGCCAATGTTTTGGTTGTGTTTTGATGTCATAAACGAGTCGTAAATGGATTTGCAATCAATTAGCATTTATTGCAAACATTTTGTTGATTTAAACCTAACTGTAATTCAAGATCAAAGTAAAGCGATTGAGTGATAAGATGTGATGAGAGAAAAATGTATTAAATCAATTGGATTTCAACTGTATTAACAAATAGTCATATATTTATTTATTAAAAAAAACTTTGCAAATAATCGCAACCTTTTATGCATTCAATTCAACAGGAATTCAATCAAATTCTTGCGTTTCTTACAAGAATTCACAGAATATTTCGCTTCAAATCTAATGAATAAAAGACTATATCTTAAGACCTGTTAGGGAATGAGATAATCATATGATGGACACTGAATGGGATGTCATCGATAAGGTATAGTATATGTGATAACCAAAAGTATGCCAACATTTGTCAAAACATTTGTTAAAATACATGACAAACGCTATAAATATCACGAATTTGCAGCACTTTTGAAGGCTTTGTGACAAAACTTGAAACCAAAAGCGAATGCATTGTTATTATCATTGAATGCAATGAATAGCAAAACATTAGCCAATGTTTTGGTTGTGTTTTGATGTCATAAACGAGTCGTAAATGGATTTGCAATCAATTTATTGTTGGCTTTTATGGCATATATTTGGCAGACATTGTGTGTCACGTGAAGAATGAATGACAAGCCGTCCACCGATGGCCACATCGGCGCCGACATCGGACTCACCACCGATGAGGCGCTCAAACGGCTCTATCAACAGATCGACGAACAGCTGACCGAATGTCGCGTAAGTATAATGTCTTCGGATTAACACCTTTAAGGGTCGGATCAATTGATTGATGTCTTGTCGACGACCATTAGGTGCGTCCCGACGGCACAGACACCGTGTGGTACCTATTGGTGGAGTCGTTCCGACACACGTCGGTCTCGTCGACCTTCCGGTGGCCATCGATGGCGCTCTTGACGTACGCGACGATTGTCTACTATATCGGCTACGCTTACGGCCACTTCACCGCTCGGGTGCCGCTCTTCATAGAGGCCACCATTCTTCTGGTGACACTCGTGTTCAACGTTGTGCTCACCTTCTGGAACACCCGCAGCCGTCACGCGGAGATCCGACGCAAAGCCCAACTCCTGTCGCAACAGATCCGCCGCTGTTATGACAGCCAACAGTTGATTGATTTGTGGAAATCGCAGCGCTATTACCCGCACGTGAATACACCCCAATCGCCCTGTATTTCACTCCAGTGGACGTTTCGCGACCGCCGACGCGTCAATCTGCCCGCACCGCTGCTCGTGGCCGGCGATGTCATACTCATGAGTCCCGGACGCGCCGCACCCGCCAAATGTCGCTCCATTGATACGGTTGTGACGCCGATTGTGGTCACAGCTCCTCCTCCACCGGCGCCGTCCAATCAAACCCATATCAATACAGACTCCATATCTGGTCCGCCGCCACCGCCTCCGTCCGCCACTCATTACTGTTTAAACAGTGGCGAACTGTTTGTGCCAACTGTTGACTTCGCCACCGACTCATTCACAATACCCCGCCTGAGACGGGCGGCCAAAGCCGTCCGATTTGTGGTGTTGGAGACGCCGTTCATATCGGACCTGAAGACCGCCATCTCTGCCCAATCGACGCGAACCATTGCCACCGCTTTCGAGAAGGAACTCAATCTGATTTCTGTCCGCTATGTGGAGCGCATAATAATACCGGTCATTTGGACGGTCATAACGCTGGTCAGTGCCATACACTACGGCTATCTCGAGTCGTTTGGCAACGAAATGGTCACCACGTGGTCGGCGTCCATCACTCTATTGATGTTACGGCCAGTGATGGCTATCCTACCGCTGCTGCCGCTGGCGTTACCCATCTGTTGGCTTACGCTAAACGTCTACGGATTGTCGCATTTGTTTCAAATCTGTGCCTCAAATTTTGACAAACAGGACATCACTAACATTGAGGGCAGTCCCGGAAGTATACTCACCGGCAGTAACATCGGGAGAGCGAAGGAACAGTACTTCAAGACCAGCAAAGAGTTTTACATCGAAGAGCTCGACTCCGAGCGCTCTACCGCACCGCTCATTGACTCCAAACTCAGTTGCTTTGATATGATATTTAAGATGAAGGACTTATTGTCCAGTAATGACACGAACCTCTGGCGTACGGCTAATCTGTTGCACGTTTTGGGCAGTATTACCGCATTCTGTTGTGTCGACAAAAAGGGTATCCTCTCGTGGCCTAACCCGACGGTCGATAAGGTCTTCTTCCTGACCGCCAATCACTCGAAGTTGAATAAACATATGTCAGAAGATTCGGACACCAATTCGGACGAAGACTCGGATGACTCCGACCGACACCACAGACACGATAAGCGAAAGCATAAGACTTGTAATTAATTTTATTCACTGATATATCCGATGATTGAAATTCAAATCTCTATCGTCTTAGCGCTGATGTCGAGCTCGAAAGCCGATTGCATGCAACTGGACATCACTCACGACCCGCACAACGCCTATGGCCTGCAATTCGATGACACCGAATGGCAAAAGTATTTATCAAACCTGAAACCTCTGGGTTTAGCCATTTTGCTCAATACATGCAATCAAGAGGCGCAGGAAGATTTCATCCAATTCTGCGATCACGTGTCCTGTGAGTCACTTCACAACGAGGCGGCCGTTCCGGTGGTCAACAAGCGGTGTCTCTGCGAACTCGCCCGACAGATAGGCTTCACGGAGAACGCCATCAAAGGCTACGAATACAGCTCACAGATAGCGATGTTTCGCCACATCCGACCGGAGGTCATACAGAAGGGAAAACTGGCCAAAAGCCTCAACTTTCCGCGCCTGAAGATGCCGTTCCCGAACATGACATCAGCGGTGATCAAAGACGTCTATTCCAACACATTTCAAATCTTCTCTCAGGGAACGGGAGATCTGATACTCGACGCCTGTATGGAGTACTGGGACGGACACGACCTCTCCGTACTGACCGACTCCGACCGCAAACGCATTCTCGACTTCTACCACAGAAGTAGTCTCACCTCCTATTGTACAGCATTTTCTTACGTTCCGCTCAATTCAATGCAGGAAACCATTAGTTTAAACGACTGTTACATTGAGTTGACTCCCGATTCGAGTCATTTGTTTCC